GGGCCGAAGGCAGATGCTCAACCACTGAGCCACCCAGGCATCCCCATCTGTAGCTTTCTATGTGAATGTCACCTTAAATTTTCAGAGAGCTTGTAAGGATTTGCACTGTGTGTCCCTATGGGTGAATAATCTGTGACAGAATGGATCAATTAAACATGAAGGTGATATAAAGTAAACTTGAGCAATTTTGGGAAACCCCCGTCAGCCTTGTTTGAGTGCTACTAGAGCCAGTTTTGGCAGGGAGGTGGGGACTGGGGGCCGGGCGTCACTCTGTAGGACACCAGGAGGCCAGAAGTGCATGTTGGAGAGGTTTGGCTGTCCGACCTCAGCAGACGACATGAGCTGATTTTTGCAGATCGGTTGCCGAGAAGGCTAAGAGGGTTGACAGCGACAGCCATCCCCTGGGGTCTGCAGTGCTGGAGAGGACTGAGCCGAGTCTTGTGCTGCCAGTGTAGACGATGTGGCTCCGCCGCCTGGAGCTGTGGGCGTGAGCTGAGACCTGCCCCACCACCTGGAATGGGCTGGCATTTCGTGGTGGGAACCCGTTCCAGTTTTTCAAGATCGTGGTTTTCAAACTGCTCCATGTTTCAGGGGCAGGCTAGGATGGGGGTCGGGATGCAGAGAGCAGACGTCTGGAGCTTCTCTCTCTACACCCCACGTTCACCAACAACATCTCATTAGAAAAAGCATAATTTTGTATACTTGCCTTTTTAGTTTATCTTTTATTTTTTGTGTATTTGCCTTTTTAAAAAGATGCTTTTTACGTTTGCAGAAAAGTTGCAAAGAGTGTGCGTGGGTAAGCCATGGTTTCCTCCGTCGTGAACATCTTACGTGGGGATGGTATGCTTGTTAGAATTAAGGAACCAACATGCACGTACTATTATTAACTAAAATCCATACTTTATTCAGGTTCCCTCAGCTTTTCCCGAGTGTTCCTTTGCTCTTCTGATACCCATCCAGGATACCCCGTTACGGTTAGTGGTCCTGTCTGCTTGCGCTCCTCTTGCCGTGATTGTGTCTCAGACTTTTCCATGTTTTCGGTGACCTTGACTATTTAAGGGGGTACTGGCATTTTGTAGAATGTGCCTCGGTCATGACTTTTATGATGTTTTCCTCCTGATTAGACTGGGATTATGGGTTTTGAAGGGGGGAAAGAAAACCCGGTGGTAAAATACGATTCTCATCACATTGTATCGAGGGTCCACACCATCAACATGACGTAGGATTGCTGATGGGAATTTTGATTGCGTGGCTGAGGTAGTATTTGTTAGGGTTCTCCAAAGCCAAGTTACTTATTTTTCCCTTTTTCAGTACTGAACCCTTTGGAAGAATGTCACTGTGTGCAGCCACGCTACTGAGATGAGGAGTTATGCTCCACCTCCTAGAGAGGCTGGTAGCTACATAAATTATTTAGATTGTTTCTGCATGGGAAATTTATCTTTTCGTCCTTATTTATTTAGTTATTCAATGACTTATTTATACCAATGTGGACTCATGGATATTTATCTTGTACTTTGGATTATATAATCCAGTACTGTGTTTCTTACTTATATTTGGCCTTTTAGGAATTTTATTCAAACAGACAAAATTCTGTTATTTAAAAATGTTAGAAGACTTTAAAAAAATCTTTCCCTCTTTTTTTCCCTTTAAGTGTCCTATTTATGCATTTATTTATTTGGAGCAGTAAAGAATGAATTATCACTTAGATTTTTATTTTTTTGCCAGAATAAAGTTCAAATATAAGTATTCAGTTGTTTTTTGGAGAAGTAAAGTCAAAAGGCATCTTTTCCCCTATTGTATACTGAGTTTGCACTCTATGTTAAATTAATGTTGAGATCAACTCTAGGGAGATTTGTAGTCATCTGTCTTTTAAATATTTCATTCATTTATTCATTCATTCATTCATATTTAGAGAGCATGAGCAGGGGAAGGGGCAGAGGGAGAGGGAGAGAGAGAATCTCCAGTAGACTCCCAGCTGAGCACAGAGCCCGACCCAGGGCTTGATTTCAGGTCCCTGAGATCTTGACCTGAGCTGAAACCAAGAGTCAGATGCTTAACCACCTGAGCCACCCAGGTGCGCCTGTAGTCATCTGTCATTTAAAAACTCCTTAGGAAGTGGAATAACATACAGGGGTTTAAGAACACTTTTTGGTCTTCCTATCTTTTTTTCTTTAGATTTTTCTAAAACTGAAAACGCAAATCACCGTACTTACAGCTCAGAGTGGTTGATTTGTTATAGAAGCCCCCGCGCCAGTCTTTCTCGCTTTCTGTTTTCTAAGACAAATGTGCCATATGCTGTACTTTTCTCTACTAAAGAATAAAGTTAAATAGACTGTATATAAACTTCTATCTCACCTCTTTTTAAAGCATCTAAAAGTCTAATGTGTCTTCACCTGCCTATCGACCTGGTTTAAAATAAAGGCAAAGCATTCTAATAATATTTCATCCTCTTTCCTTCTTTTAGTGGTCTAGATTTTCTTTTGTATTTTGTTAGTTAATTCTGTTCTGAAATTCAGTGCTTTTAGGTGTTCTTGTTTCTGTGCCAGTCTACACACACAGGAATTCTTTAGAGAGTGGTTTTGGTTGTAGGCAAGTTCTCCTTTTTTAACATCAAAGTTGTGGGCCATTGTATGTGGAGACCAGATGACCTGGCCAGTTGGGCCAGAGATGCGTCTGAGCCAGGTATTGGTTAGTGGCTTCATGTGCAGTGGGCTACCCACGTGGCCCTAGTGCTCTGAGGCCCACTGAGGACCCAGTCCTCCTACAGAGAGTGTGAGGCTCATCCCAGCATGGCTTATCCCATGAGTGGCCAACTGCACTCGGGCCTGTGAATCAGTTCCCAGTAGGACTAAGTGATAGGCCCACAGCTGGACCTTGACATCTGGCTAGACAGGCATGAAGCATTTACCATTGCAATCAAATCAAGAATAACGGTATTAATTTAGAACATGTTGAGAAGTCATTATTGTATTGCATGATAATTAAGCACAAGGTAAGCATAAAGAATAAGCACCTCACTTAATTGACTGTAATTATTTTAACACAGCCAGATCAGACATTCAGTTCTCATTCTTTCTCATTGAAGTGGTGTGTATATTAATGTCTTCTGATTCTACCCAGGATTTTGTTCTCAATTTAATTTGATTATTGATTAAGTCATAGACCCTTAATCTGATGACTTCTATGTAGTAGTACAAGTTTCCTCACGTGTTTGTTTCCTAGGGCCAAGGATCTGGAGAGGCCTTGACATTTGTCTATAACTAAAATGACCATATATTCAATGATCAGGAATGACCAGAAATGAATATAATTTCTCTTCTTTGTCATAGCACGCAAACCAAGCTGGGTCTGGGGCAGGGATGGAGAGCCATAGCTTCAGATAAGGCCTAGGCTTCTTTAGCCTTGGGAGTCTCTTCACGCCGCCCCTCAGAGCTGATGTACGAAGGAGGTATCAGAGCCCCAGGGCAGGGAGGATGGTGCCCCCCCACCTCAACCGAGGGTCTTTAGGTCCTGAATTAGCTTCTGGGCTCTCCAGCCACCCTGGACCCTCTTCTCGTCAGAGGTTAGGCTTGGGGACATTGTTTCCCAAAGCAGAGGCTTGCTTTTCTTCAAAATGTAGATGCACCACTCAATGCTGCAAAAATGAGTTTAGGATTACGTTAGTGGCGGGTGTTTAAGTGATCGTAATTTACTGAGCACACCCTCCTCATTCAGTTTTGCAAAGCCTCCCACAGCATTTAACTGGTCCTCTTTGATCTGATCAAGCCCGCTTTCCTGCCGTGGCTGATTGTCCAACAAAAGGACAGACATACACATGTGTGGGGGAGCGTAACCTGGACTCAGTAGCCTGAGCACTTTTCCCTTCCCTTTAAAGTTTCTTTAGGTTTCACATTTTAAGGGGTCAGTGATACTTCCATTTGTCTGTCGTTTTACAAACGAGTCATGAAAGAATGGAAAAAATGGGTTTTCCCATGTGATGGCTCACGTGACAGCCTTCACAAAACATGGGGAAGAATGGCACGTAAGGAGTAGTAAACCCTTAAAGATTCCAAAGATTGAGAGAAAAAAGAATGAATTCTCAAAAATTTTGCCCAACTTTCATCAATTTTAAAGAGGAGGCCCAAAATAAATAAGCGAGACATGTAAAAACCTATTCACATCAGTAAATGCCAGCTTTTTTTCACATTTTTAAGGTATTTGCAGATGTTTTGGTCAAAAGCTGCTTACTTAGAAAAATCTGCATTTAAAAGAAAGACAGCTACAGTATGGTATGTTTTTAAAAAGGCAGCCTTCTGTGTCTGCCTCTAAATCCATTCGTGAGCATAATTTACTTGTTCATAGTCCTGCGAGACGTTTGAGGAACACAAGTGCGGTGGCTGATTATCCTTCAGTTCTCGCAGGATCTCCTTTCACATAAGCAGGGCATCTCTGAGTAAGCCTGCTTGACCAGCTCCACTCGTTCATCCTTTTGCAGTTACAGACCGAAAATGCCCTGACTTATTAATTGTACAATCTGTCATTCTTAGGTAATTTAAGTGCATTTTCTACTACACACGGCTATTTATGCATGATCTTAAGTGGCTTATATTCACAATTAGAGGCTGTGGTCAATGCTGGAAGGAACTCTGGCCTGATATTCATGGTAATCTGAGTTCTGGTTTTGTCTCTGCAACTGGCTTTGTGAGACTCTGGCAATTTATTTCTGGAAGTTCCACTAGTACTTCCTGTCTGATTCAGGCCCTGCCTCTGGAGCTGGGACACATTAACCTAGTCCTAGTGACTACCCTCTCGGGATTCACGGTCTAGTTCAGTGGTTCTCACACTCCACTGCGCACCAGAATCCCCCGGAGGGCTCATCAGAACGGAGTGCTGGGCCTCACCCTAGAGTTTCTGATTCAGTAGGTCTGGGCTGGGTGGAAAATTTGCATTTCTAACAAGTTCCCAGATGATGCTGATGCTGCTGGTTTGGGGACCATGATTTGAGAACCACTGATCTAATGGTTCAGCTGACACATCAGTTACCACAATTCAAAGATTAAATGCTGTGAAATAAGTATAAATAATGTGCAGTGGGCACCAGAGTGTGACGAAGTGGGTCCAAAGCTGAATGAACAGCTGGAGATCTAAGAAGCCCCAATGGAAGAGGGAGAGGTGGAGCAGGATCTTGGCGAGTGGCTAAAGACCTGACAGGTAGGACCTTTGGGGGGGATGGCATCATCCCAATCTATTGATGAGCGGGGGAGTGCAGGGGGTGTGTGGGAGCAGCGGCTAGTCTAGCATGGGTGGACGGAATAGTGGTGTGGTGGAAAGGAACACCCAGACACAGATGGAATTGAGAATGAGGGAGCGGGGAAGTGAAACGAAACATGTTTTTGGTTGTGGAATGTTGGCAGCAAGGGAACAGCATGATCAGAGCCATGCTTAAGAAGAGCAGCTCCGGCGCCGTGACAAATGGCTCGGAAAGAGACAGTGATTTCGGGAACTATTGGGGCAGCCCAATCTCCACACCGGGAGGGGCTGAAGAAGAGCGTGGACGTGGGAGGGATGCAGTTATGGGTGCGTCTGCGCAGAAGCCACAGGTGTGGGAGTTGATTGGGGACAGGGAGATGGAAAGGTCAAGAGGGGTGGAGGATTCAAGTCTAAGTCATTGGGAAAGAATGAGAGTGGCTGGATCCCGCAGGAGAAACAGATTTGCTAAGAAAACGAACACCTGGAACCTTGGTTTCTGTAGCAGGGCCCCGGACCAGGAGCTTTGAAAGGTCACTTTTTGTTTGATCGTAATCAATGTTTCAGTTGCTGCTTATCTGAAACATTACAGAATAGGTTTGTGTAAAAAGCAAATGGCCCGTGTGTAACAGGCACTAATATATGTGACTGCTTGATCCTGGATACTCACTGGCCCTAAAGTACTTGCACCTGTAAATAGAATTCTCTTTGAACTTACTTTTGCTTAGTTTTCTAAGAAGGTCGACTTGCCCGGTTCCTCCTATTTTATATATTATGCGCGTGAACATTTTCTGCGTGTATTTCTATGTATATATTTTAAATAACTAGATATTTGAAATCTTTTTGGCTTGTTCTCCTATTCTAGTAATCACAGCATATATCGATAGATTTCTGCGCAACCCTCTCTTTCATCCACTGGATTATGAGCTCCTTCTGAGTAAAGGACGTGTCTTAATCATTTTTGTCTTCCTCACTGCACTCCTCACGAGTGACTACGTAAAGTGGCCAGCGAATGTTGGGGGAACTAGATTGAACCACTGGGTAAAAGAGTCAATTACTATTTTTTTTTTAAGATTTTATTTATTTATTCACGAGAGACACAGAGAGAGAGGGACAGAGACACAGGCAGAGGGAGAAGCAGGCTCCATGCAGGCAGCCTGATGCGGGACTCGATCCCGCGACCCCGGGGTCACGCCCTGGACTGAAGACTGACACTCAACCGCTGAGCCACCCAGGCCTCCCCTGTTTCTTTAGTGAGAGACAAAAAGGCTGAGGCAATAAAAAGCAGTAGTTTGAAGGGGAATGGAAATCCAGGTATTTTGAGAGGTTGAAAGAGGAAACAGTTAATTCAGTAGACTTTTCGGGACTAGAACATAGATATTCCTGGGCACGTTAGGAAGCAGAAGGCCATAAAAACCAGGAGAGCTTTCAGTTCTGTCTTAAATTAGCCATTGGGCACCTGGGCCAGGCTTTCCTACTCTGGACCTCAGTTCCCTCATTTGTAAGGTCGTGATTGTAGTAGATTATAGAATTTTCTACCTCTTTGCACACCCTTAGAATCCCCAGCAGGAAAGCATGAGCAGAGCATCAGAGGTGGGAGAGAGCATGCGTGTCCTTTGTGACCAGGGCGTGCCATGCTAGCCAGAGGCCCAGTTCCAGAAGGTCGTTGCTGCTCAGTTAAGGCGCCTAGGATAGATCCTACGGGAAAGTCTCGAACGAGGTGGCCTAATTGGGAATGCTGTGCGAGAGCAGGAGAGAAGGCCCAGGGAGCAGGAGCCGCGGTTGCTTGCTTGGGGCCTCCTCTCTGGAGGAGTCTTATATGGTGTCTCTCAACACAGCTCACCTGGGGGGGGGAAGGGGAAGGGCGGACCTTTGTCTGCTGCTCATCTCCCACTGGGTAAGAGCAGCTCCACTCTTTCAGGTTGGGCATCCCTGGCTCCCGGGGGGTCCCGTGGGCGCCTCACTTCAGCCCCAGGGAAGCCTGGGCTGAAGAGGCCCCGTCAGGTTGCACGTGGATGAAGCTGGCCAGATTCTTCATGGGACTGGCCACCGTCCAATGGCAGGACTCTGAGGTGAGTTTGAGAGGATTTGAAGCAAAGCATAAAAGGCAGCAGACTAGGGAGCTCTGGAGGGATTCACAACCAAGGAAACGTAGTCAGAGGTGCGCAGTGGCCTGTCGGGAAGGTTCAACAGCCAACTCTCCAGAAAACAATGAGTGTGTGTGTGTGTGTGTGCATGCATACACACACTTACATGTGCTGTAAATTATCCTGACATAATGGATGTGTAGCGCGCAATTCATAAATAATAAATCATACAGCTTTCTTTATTGTAAAGTGCACATAGCTGATTGATTTGACAGATTTTTTTTAAAAGATTTTATTCATTTGAAAGAGAGTGCGCGCGCTGCACAAGTACGCAGAGCTCAGTGTGGGGCTTCATCCCAGGACCTAGGGATCATGACCTGAGACAAAGGCAGACTCCTAACCGACTGAGGCACCCCGGTTCTGACAGGTTTCTGTTGGTTTCTGCTGAACTCTTGAACTTATGGCCAACCTATGGTTGCAAAGGATGAAAGCGGGTGGTTGATGCGCTCTTGTTACAGTGGGGAGTACCATCAGGTGAAACGACGACAGCACGGCCCAGAACTTCACTTGTTCATGAAGCGTCTTTGTGAATCGGACAGCATTAGGAGAATTATTTCCGCAGCTTTTCATTTTTTTTTCGCAATATACCTGCTATAGGCACCCCGTATTTTATTAACATTTTGTCCATCAGTTTTTTAAGCCTAGATAATCATCAAAACAGAAATCAAACCGTAATTTATAGGGGCTTGCCAGTTTCCCTGTGAAAACCGTCCCATTACAGCCAACTTCAAGTTACAGGGAGTAGATGCCCAGTAAGCGCCTTTCACAGTATTTTCACATACGGGCAACATTAGCCCTAAATAGCTTCAAAGAGATAGATATTAGTAAAATGTGTTAAAGTAGCAAAGAAGTGGTGGATTTTGAATACTTGTTATCTTTGGGTTTAATTTATTTCACTGTAAGTTTAATTTTTCATAATTGGTGTGTTTAACAACTGATAACATTTAAAGAAAAAGATTTTATTTAGTCATGAGAGAGACACACAGAGAGAGGCAGGGACACAGGCAGAGGGAGAAGCAGGCTCCCTGCAGGGGGCCTAACGCGGGACTCGATCCCAGGACCCCGGGATCATACCCTGAACCAAAGGCAGACCCTCAACCACTGAGCCACCCAGGTGGCCCCAACTAATAAAATTCTTGAAAACTTCCAGTGGGTTCTCAGGAACTGGGATGGGTCAGCCCAGCCCACTCCTAGAGTTATAGTTTTAGAAGATCACCTTGGTAGCCAGCTGTAGAAATATTTTGAAAGGGCATGCAAGGAAACAGTAACTGGGCCGGAGTAGGGGTGAAAAGTAGAAGATAGACTTGGGGAATGTCTTCACACTGCGAGCACGAGGGTTCAGGTGAAGTCAGGCTAATAGAGGTGATGCAAATTTTACAGGGCTGCCTTCAAATGACTTTTACTAAAGTCTCCTGCAGGTGCTCTTGGAGCCTTACAGAGCTCTTACCTGTGCAAAACCCATGTCCTCGGCGATCTTCTGCTTGATGACCCTGGGCCAAAAGAATTGAAAACTGAGACCCTGCCCCCACCACAGCTGTGGGGTGCCTTCCGGGAGAATGGGATCCATGCCGAGGAAGCCACGGCCTTATTTTCCTAAGTTTGCAAAGCTGGGGGAGGAGGCTCTAGAAAGGTTTCAGAATCAGGGGTGTACCTGGGACCCCTCACATAAATCTGAGTCCAGGAGCTTGAAGTTAGTTGCTGGGTTGTTTTTCCATGACTCAGAGAGGCGGGGGTAGACGGGCTTCTCTGTGTCCCCGCAGCTGTGGAACTGGGCCTGGAAACAGCCCCTCTGCCCCGTCCTGGTTTGGCCCCTGGAAGCCACAGAGGTGTCCCTGCCCGAAGACCCCCTGCCACCTTTGCAGATCAGCTCGTGGAGATAAATGCCTCAAGGCCAGGAGCACCCCCCCATCCATCCACACTCATAGGGTGGGTGAAGTTCATTTGTGGGTCATCAGCCACCACCACTCTTAGTAGAAAAATGAGGTGAAGTAGATCCAAGGGTGGGCACGGCCCCTGGTGCATGTAGCCAGTGGCTTGGGTGTGGAGTATGGGAGGCAGGGGCCCTGGACTGTGGGAGAGGGGGGAGCCCTGGGCTGTGGGAGAGGGAAAGAGGATGCACTTGAGGTGCGAGGCAGATTTTAATCGTGCTCGGTTTTGAACTTGATAAATGAGGTGCCCGTGGAGCAACAGGTCAGGGTGTTGGAGAGGAGATGAACGGAGGCATTGAGAGTAGAAAGGCCCGTGAGGCTGCACCCGAGACGGTCTTCCTGTGAGGATGTTGAATGAGAGACATTGGCCTGTGCTCAGGAAAAGTGTCAGGGCCTAGGGGCCCGAGGACTGGACAGGGAGGAATGTCTGGGGAGCTCTGAACCCGAAGGAAATTGGCCCAAAGGAGCTGAGACACATGGTGGAACAGTGGGGCCCAGTGTGTTCACGCTGACAGTTTCCCAAGTTTATCTTTTCAGACTTGTGATCATGCGAACTGACCTCCTTTCCTCCTTCTTAAAAAAAAAAAAAAAAAAAAAAAAAAAAAAAAGGCAGTCAGGGACTCTGCAGTATCATAAAATAGTGACACTTTTGTCACTCTCCAAAGTATGGACAGTGACCATGTCCATACTTTGCTCCGGCCCCATGATAGTCCATGTGGGGAGTAAACCAACCTACTTTAAGCTAAAGGGAAATGTCAACTTTTTTCCTGTTTGATGTTTCTTGCTGTGTTTTCCATATTAATCACTTCATTTTCCTCTTGGTCACAGGCCTGATTTTATATATATATATATATATATATATATATATATATATATATATATATATTCT